CCCCAAAACCCCAAAACCCCAAAACCCCATTTTTTAAGCGAATTTTGAATAGTTATTTCTTATTGAAGGTCTTCTTCGGTTGGCTCTGCTGCTGATTCTTCGGGGGATGCTAGGGCAGGCTCTTCAGGAGAAATTGGAGAGGGATCTTCAGGAGCAGGCTCGTTGTTTTCGACAATATTAACCTCGTTAGCTAAGAATAAGGGTTTGCTTAGCTCATTCTCAACTCCTGTTTCGACTTGTTGAGAAATTTCTTGAAAATGTCTATTGAAAGCAGCATCATATTGGGCTGCGCTTGGCTTTTCTTGGGAATAATATTCTTTCAAAGCTCCTTCAATTCTAATAGCAAGGTCAATTGTTGTCAAGTTGTCTGGAATGTCAGAAAGAGATGTTGGAACATAAGGCTTATCTTCTACCTTTTTCTTCCAGATTTCCATTACACTGAATAATTTTGAAGGGATATAAGCTCTAGCAAACATTGCTGCTTCTGGAATTTTATCAGCTGCTAGTAGGACCTCATATCATTTTTCTGGATTTCCAATGCCAAAATAGCATTGATACGCAATATTATACTTCTTTTGCTCGAGAGCTAAATCACTCAGTTATTTCATTGAATTTTATAGAGATTCTTACCTTTGGTAGCTACATAATCCATGCCTTCTTCATCACCAAGACTAGAATAAAGCAATAACAAGGAGTTGAAGTCATTAGAGGCTCTGTATCATTCTTCAGCCAGGTTGAAATCCCCAACTTTCAAGGAGATATCTCCAATTTTTCTGAGTTTTTCCTCATTATGAGAATCCTTCAGAGCAATTTTGTGGGCATCCCTGATCTTGTTTAGAGAAATTGCTAGATCAAATTTATGTTCTTCGTCTATTGTGACATGATAAGCAATCTCTTTATGATTCATTGATTCTAGGAATTTTGCTATTTTAGAAATATGATTTTCAGGAACTTCGTCAATAACTGATTTCAAGTGCTCATATTCAGGATCAGCTGTAGTGGTGCCCTCCTTTGTTTTCACAATTGCTTGTTGGGCCTCGATGACTGATGTTAGGAGTTCATAACTAGTGATTTTAAGAGTCTTATTGACAAGGAAGATCCTATTCTTTTGGGGAACATAACCAAGCACAAACATTTTCTTATCAATAAGAGCATGGTTCATGATTTTATTACCAATAAGGTAATTTAGTTTTCCCTTTGTTGTAGTGAAGACAAAGGCTTCTCCAGGGATCCATTCACCACTGATGATTTCTTCATTGAAATCTCCGATAAAAGTAAAGGCATCTTCTACTCCTTCTTCTCCAAGATCCCCAGAGTTGTTTTTAAGAGCTTCTCTGACAATTTCTTCGTTATATTTAAGAACGTAAAATCATCCTTCAAGACAGATCACAACATGCTCACCACTGGAAGACCAGTAAACATTCTTGGGAGATTCTACATCAATTTTTCTGATGCAAGTGAAACTCTCCCAGTCAAAGAATGAAATTGAAGATCCTTCTCGCTTTGTAGAGACTCCAATAAGTTTCCCTCCGAAAATAGAATCTGCTTTGAAAGTTGTTTTATAAGTTTGGTCTTCAACGAAATTCTTAAACAATTTGATTGAGTTGTGGTCAGTCAACACTGCATAATCATTATCTTGTCCCCAGACTAACCCTTGAGCATTTCCAAATCCTGAGTTGTTAAACTTGAAGGTCGAATAGATTACATAATCAGAATCTCCAATCAGAGCAAAGTATTTGCCATTTGGAGCAAATTTAATGTCCTGAGCAAAGATTTCAGAGTTTCCGAGATCCTTGAACTTAGCATCAATTTCATCTCCATCACCGAGATCTCCTTTGATACTTTTAAGATTGGCAAGTTGGACTTCTCCTTGTTGAGCCCAGACTACTCTCCCATTATTGAACGAGACTATCGGGGTCTCCTTACCAATTTTAATGACAACTGTAGCCTCGTCATAGGCGATGGCAACGTAATTCGAGTTCTTGACTGCATGAATTGCCCAAGGCCTGTCTAGTCCATAATTAAGATCATCTTCTTTTTCGTAAGTAATTGAATTCCAAATGTTAACTTTTCCATCTTCTGCTGCTGAGATTAGAATAGGAAGCTCTGGGTGAAAAGCAACTGCTGATATGTTGTCATCATGACCTTCAAAGGTGTATAGTCACTGCTTAGTTTGGTAGTCCCACAATTTTACTGCAGAATCATCTCCTCCAGAGAGAAGATAGGATTTATCTCCAGTGTGGCAGTAATCAATACAATTCACACCAGCTTTATGTCCAAGTAGGCTGTAGTTTGCTGTTTTCGTGGTAGTACTCACTGTCCAGATTTTAACTGTCTTGTCTAGAGAAGCAGAAGCAAAGGTATTGGAATCTTTAGGGTTCAAAACTATCTGCATTACAAAGTGCTCATGGTCCTGATAAGTATTCACTTCTTGCCAATTTTTCTCCCAATTCCAAACTTTAATGGTTAAATCGTCTGAGCAAGAAAGAACATATGGATGTGTGGGATGGGCAAGTACTGATCTGATATAATCAGAATGGGCGCTAATTGACTTGATCCTTTCAGAAGTATTGTAGTTATAAATAAGCATATTATTGTCATCTGTACCTGCTACAATCCATTCTTTCCTTAATATAAATCTTGCTCATCTGACAGGCTCTTTGGATATTTCGAATTGTTTTACTCAACTCTGAGTGTTATAGTCAAAGATTGCTACATGTCCTGTATATAGCCCAATAAGGACCCAAGGAAGGGTAGGATGAAGTTCAACACTTTTGACTCTTTCGCTCCTGTTCAATAATTTCTTCTTAATCTCAAGCTTCATTTTTACTATAATATCTGATTCAGATTCAATTTATATTTAATTTTAGGGGTTTTGGGGTTTTGGGGTTTTGGGGTTTTGGGGTTTTGGGGTTTTGGGGTTTTGGGG